TTGTTCACATCACTTCTCGTTTATACATTTTTTCTAATTCTTCAGTTTCGCTCCAATTCGTCTCGTATCGGCAAAACAACGATAACTGCAAACTGTATAGAAAAAATGTGTACTAACAAAAAAAATATTTACTGCGAACCAGACAAAAAAATGCTCGTGTCCGTTGAACATCAAATAGATACAACAAAAAATATTTTGTCGGTATCCGTATCGTCTGTTTCTAGTTTTCTTTTCTTCACTAAATTTTCCTCCAGGACGCTTTCGTCGGCCATCAGGTCTAGCATCTTAATGCAGAAGAGGTTGTAAGCGCGTGGAAACAGTAGCTCCATCGCTTCCTGTAGCGACTTACAATGTGTGACCGGGTTTGCTGTGTAGTGCAGGAGCCATGGCCCGTCAAAATAGTTTTCGCGCTCCGCAGACGTGTATTCCATAGTTGAAGTCCTAGTGTCCGCTCCCTGCTGCTTGAGATCGTTCAGATTTCAAGTGGCTTAAACTCTTCAAATATCAAATTGGAACAGAACATCGTGTATCGAATAATTTCACCGTGAGCGCATAAGCCTGTTGATGTAGGCAAATGCGCATGTGATTGCTGACAATGCTAGACATCAGTTTTCATTAATTTAGCTTTGTAGTCTTATTTATTCTTTTAATGCATTTCCAGTGTTTTCTTAAGAGTAACTGGTAAGGGGTAACTGTAGCGCAACATGACCACAACTAACTCAGTAAAGCAGATTTATACTTCTATACCGTAAATAATTATAGCACATTCGTATTGTTACGCGGTAATTAGTATAGATGACTGCACAAAAACTTAAAAGTCAGTAATGCTTATGGATGCGTAAATATGAGGTACTGCGTAGGACATGGTTAATTGGTTATTGGTATGCTTAAGATTGAAACGTTGCTGAAAGCCAGTCCCGTTTTGGACTGCGCTGTAGAGGACCAGTGTGTCTCCTGAGCGACGGTCTAATACGGGAAAGGTCACACACGTTAGTTAACCAATCGACTAATTCTAATTAACGTGAGTATTGACAGCAGTCCACTACAAGTCTGTACCATTTTCTGACGACCAATCCTGAGAAATTGTGTTGAGTGCGCATACAGGGGATTCTCTACTAAATTTACTCAAAAGAAATTGCAGAATCGAACAGCCGGCGTTCAAAATAGTGTTGCCAAAAAGATAAAAAAAGTGTTGAAAATAGTGTTGCCAAAAAGATAACGGTTTTAACACACCGTGTCAAGATTAAGGGTTAGAATTTCAACATAGAATAATTCTTCAACATTGCAAGCAAGACCTGTTTCGATAATCTGTGAGTTTGGAACGGAAACATTGTCATGTATAGCAATATGGTAAGTATTAATTTTTTTTTCAAGCATTGCACTCTTATTTGGCGGTATGCAAAACTCGCACCATTTTTCTATCATAATAAAGATGTACGAGGCAAGCGGCAACTCTTTCCCATCGCTTTAGTAAATTACCTTACTTTCCCTGCTGCATCTTACCCGTGTGCAGGCGCTCACGTGATAACGTATCCATTGTGATCACTGATCAGCGCTTACTGAGCCGGCGATAAAATCTCGCCTGCCGTTGCTTTTCTCTATATTCTTTATCAGTATGCGTAATCAACTATAGCCGCAAACCGGTTTAGACGTGAAACGGCTGAAATCAAATATCACGTGAGCGCCTGCGCACGGGTAAAATACAGCAGGGAAAGTGAGGTAATTTACTGAAGCGATGGGAAAGAGTTGCCGCTTGCCTCGTACTTAATCCACAGCCTCAACCGACAACAAAAACCAGACGGTCTAATTATACAGAACATCTCATCTAAATTAGCCGATGCTGGTGCTGTTCCCATGACGGAGGCCGCATTCCCGCGTTGAATTTCAACCCTGAACCGCTGGCGCAGATACTCAATCGCCCGTATCTCGCCCGTTTCTTCGCGTATCATCTGCCCGAGCTCGGTGACCATGCGAGAGACATCTGGTCCCAAAGGTCCGAGTGTTTCGACGCCTACTGCACGAAACAGGTAATCCGGTGTGATGTCGCGATACTTCTCCACTTTATCCTGCTCTGCGCGCGCCGCGGCTGCTCCCGCTTGTTTCGATGTTGCCGCGATGTGCGACAAAGCTACTGTGCACACACATGTAGCATCCCAGGTCAACATCTTTCCTCTTTCCCACGGTACCAACGTCACTCCGTCGGGGCGCTTACCATTGGTTAGGAAAATACTGGGTGGTTCCAGGTCCGTTTCAATACCTGCTGAAGCGAAGGCGCGCTTTAAGGTGGCATTCAGGCAGCTGTGTCTGGACTTCCGGCCCTGGCTTTTTTTGCAACTGAGACCATGATATCCTCGTGGGTCTACCGATTCACCGCAGTTGCAACGGTGTGGTGTGGTGATCGGTACTCCGAGACGCAGGCCGACTGCGATTCTGAGTGTGGTATCGTTCAGGAAATTCCCCAGTGATGCTGCTGGGAGCGCTTCCACCCATGCCGCGTTTTCTTTGCTGCTCACGCCTCGGAGACGGGCTTCACTGGACATGTCTGACTGGGCGGCCGCCAGCAAGGCTTCCGCTGAACCCTGGATGACTGGTTCATCCCATGTCTTGTGGTGTTTTCGGGTTTCGAGAGTCGGGAGATCAGCCCCGCTCATTCGCTGCAGTATTAATTGCATCACACAAGATCATGTGGTACTGCTACACAAAGCGGTTAAGTTCTGCATCGATTTGTCTAAATGAAGGTAAATCGATGCGATACTCTTTCAAACAGCTAATCAGCACCTACTTGTTAGTGTAAAAAAAGTTCGAATCAGAAAAACAAATCGCATTGTCATTGTAAGATTGTAAGGGCATTGTAGGATTTACCAGCTACCACAAACCACAACTCTTGCAAGATGTCAGAGGTAAATCTTTTAAGTAAAAGAATGGGCTTCCAATGGGTTACGCAGTTGAAACAGCGTTGTGTGGCCGCATGGTATCTAATAATATGTTTTATTTTGATCTGTTTTTTTTTTCCAAAATTCCCATGCTTTCCAATTTTGATTCCATAATGCTTACCAATGCTCTCCTCCTTTAGCTTCTAAATACTAACAGCAAAATGTTATACATACAGTACTGTATACAAAATAAAGAGAACTATTTAAGCGGTAAACCCGCCGTATCTGAGTTTGGTCCCCTTTCAGAGAGTACTTATTAAAAACGTACCATGGCCTGCCCAAGGCCGATCTGACCTACTTTTCTAATAAGACACCAGCAGCGGCGTGCCAGTAGTCAGGTAGAACAGCATTTTTGCCTTCAGCGGTGGCCACTGGCTATGCTACCCTGGCTGTCTCTGCCGCCCTGTCTTCCCTATCTCTTTGCAGTTTGCACTCCACACTGCCGTTTGGTCGATATAAATAACACGAGCCTGCTCTGGGCTGAAATGCTGACTCTGCTCCTCCCTGCCGGTCTTGGTAAAATTATCAAAAGAGATTCTAGAGACACGCAGAAAAAGCTGCATGGCAGTTTGCTTTCAAAGTTGGCCACGGCTGCAAAGGAGACCAGTCGTAACAGTAATTCCAGATTGCATAAGCGTAGTTGCGGTGGCGAAGCACGCTTGCATGCATTTTTACGACAGCGCTTGTCGATAGAAATTCAACCTGGTAACGCGGCGTCAGTGCTGGGCAAACTAAATGAAATTTTCTGGTTGTAGTTTTTGTGTTTCTTTCCTTATTTTGGCACTAAGTATGATTTAACCAATAAAGATTTCACAGCGTAGTCATTTGCATTAACAGTTGTAACTACCAACCCACTCAAATTGCGCGCCGTACAGCTTACAGTAAGTGGTAATGATGTTAAAACCTTCTGTATTCTAATTAGTTAACATGTACTGCGATTCTTCCTCCCCAGGCTGCGGATAATAATGTCCGTAACTTTTTTATTCTGCAATCTGCTGTAATCAGTGCTTTGAAAATTATTTTTTTGTTACACCGATCCTATGAAGTGAAGTCAGGTACCATCGTTTTTAGTCTATAACATCTTTCCCCAAAACTGGATTTTTGCACTCGTATGCAAATAACTAGCGTGGCTGCGTGAGACCAGCAGGTATCTACGGCTCGGTATCAGGCACCTGCGTTGCTTACGACTCTACACGTTTGTGTTGCTGGGGATCACATAAAACGGCAAGATGTTTTTGATGTATATAATAGTTTTTTTACAATTTTGGCTATGTTTTTAATTTTTTCCACATAATTTTTTATGGCGTCTAGTGTATAATTATGTAGTTCAGCTATTTTCAACAATCTCCTAAACTCCTGCAAAAGTTTGTTTTGACATTTTTTTAATCGGGTTTCAAAATCCCATTCTTATCCGAACCGGAAATGGGCCGCCTTCTCCGACTCAAATAAATTTAACTAAATACAGCTACATGCATTTTGCTATGTGGACGGCCAATCTAATTATCGTATGGCAGTAAGACATAGGACGAGGAAATATAAATTTTATTTGCAATATGTGTACAGACTACAGACTGCACAACGAGTTTCGCTCAGTAAATATGAAATATCAATTTGTCCAAATAACATGGGATGAGATTGCGGGACGCACTCACATCCTTTAACAATTGTGGAAATTATGCGTCCAAGGCATTATTTCCACCATCAGATGCAAATAGCAAAAAAAGCGAAAATGAGAGGTATGAATGCGGTATGAATGAGAATGAGTATGAATGAGAGGTATGAATGCGGTATGAGGTATGAATGAGAGGTATGAAATGAGAGGTGTGCATGCGGACATCCATTCAAGAGAACGGTTACACCGTACACGCGACATAATTATAATTATATGCGGTGAATACGCGAGATACATATGCGGCGACATATATATGCGGTGTACATGTATATGCGGTGATGCTACAATATCACGGCGATGTAAAGTTGATACAATAACGATAAATAGCAAATTTTCAATAATTAACCTTGCACTGCTCGTCTAAACGGCTACACCCAACTTTCTATTTTCCGTAGGAACATGGGGAATGTGGCAAGCGCTTTTTATTCGGAAGCGGACGTGGTACAAACGCACCGGCCAGGGCCCAGTCCAACCGCCCGGCAATGGGCTTTTAACAACTACGTGGTCGTCCAGCGAGAGACTGGAGAGTGGTGGCTGGGACGCCTTACCGATATCGAAGGGGAAGAGTTCTTCATCGACTTCATGTCGACCAGCGTTCCTCCTGGTTGGATCCACTCTCGCCACGTTTGGCCCTACGAACCGCTCTCCTGCCAGCCACCGCCGGCCGACCGACTTGGTGACACTGTGCCAGCGCAAATTGCCATCCGTGTATACGACAACGGTCCGTACGTGATTCGTCCGGGTCGGTTGATTCGTCCCGGTCGTATTCAGTTCAATTGGGTTGCTCTTGACGATCTCAGCGATCAAGCCGGAATAGTGCGCTCCCAGGTTGTTCGTGGGTTCCAGCTCTTGGCACGTCTGCCGGCTCCGAACGAGGAGCCGCTTTACGGCCGGCGCAACGGCCTGGTCTGGACGAAGCATGTCGTGCCTTTTGAAAATGCTCACCGGATACAGAGGAACCTGTACAATCTGATGTTCTGCGTGCAGGCTGCTTTCCCTCGCAGGGGCGCGCCGACTGAGTTCGGCGATGGGCGAATGTATGTGCGGGCTGAGGACGACACAGTCACCTTTATCTTCGCTGAACTACATAGTGAGGTGCCAGATGAAGCGATGCTATTCAACAAGGAAACGTTAAGCCGCAGTTGTCTTGAAAAGAAATACTGGCAGTATTGTATCAGTGGTTCCGAAGAAAGTCCTACAGCGAATTCGCATGCCTGGATAGTCATTCCCAAAGAACAACGGACTGAAGATACTTGGGTAGTCGTCAGCCGAGAAAATACTCCCGCTGTCGAAGGTACTGTGGCAACAGTGGCATTGCCAATCTTGTTAACTGGACGTTATCCTGTGGATGTCGAATCTCTTCATAAACCATAAGCGATATTATAGTTTCAGAAGCCACAGATAATACATGTACATGTTTTAGAAATGTATGTTTTACAAAATTAACATGTAATCTGATATTATTGTGGTCTTAGCAAAAAGACATGAATGTAGGACTTGCTATGCTATATTCCCTTTACTGTCCTAGCTTCGCTTCGGCATAGCATAGCTGCCGTAGCATGAATGTAGCGTAGCATGTAATCTGATATTATTGTGGTCTTTAGCAAAAAGACATGAATGTAGGACTTGCTATGCTATGTTCCCTTTACTGTCCTAGCTTCGCTTCGATCTGATAGTGTTAGCCTAAAGCGGTGCGTTTTCCCACAATGTATGTACATTTTGCTATTTTTGCAGAGGAAACTGGGCGATTTGACAGCCTTCCCTATTGTGTAGTGGAGAAAATTCTTTGCTGTCTGGATCTGTTGTCGCAGAGTACTGCTAAAAGGTAATCAGTCTGTTGAATTACAAAAATATACCGAATTAAACAATTGAGAAAGAGTACTTACTGTACTGTACCTCAACGTGGAAGCGCAGCGGTGCTGTTATGATGATTCTCGTGTTAGAAACACCGTTAAACGTTTTTTTTTTATTTCAGCGTATGCACCTTATGGCGTTCAATTTTGGTTGACCCCGACGCCAGCCAGCATCTGATCATCGATACCACAATCTTCGATTCCACGGCTGAAAACTCCCAAAACCATCACTACCGGATTGCAGTCGCTTTGGAGGCGGCGATCACGCAACAAACTCGCAGCATCACGTACATCAGCAGAGCCCGCCATCACGACTACCTGGACGATGATCCGTGGGAGAACGCCCTCTTCCATCTGTTGCAGATAAAGGGAGTCATGCTAGATCACCTGGTCATTAAAGACCGCCATGCGCGGCTGCGCGTACTCCGCGCCAAACACTTGGTACCGACGCCGATATATAAATACACCTGCCACCACCTGTTGCGTTTTATTCCGGTCTGTCGCCAGCTGATCCTCCTCGACTGTACGCTGAAGAATTTCCTATACAACCTTAATTACACACGCGGCAGTATATCCGATCTCCTTCCGAAAATGGGCGCAAAGGCGTATCTTAGCGTTACTTGCCGTCCCCGGCGCGATGTTGCGGTGAGTCAGTGTAATCTGCGCTGCAGTGACCCGCCGGCGAAGTTACTACGGACGATTTTATTGGCTGTCAATAGCAGCTGTTCTCCCGATCCCAATATTTACGCGCGAGTGACGGCTATCCATCAACGAATGCTCCAGACGTTATCGTATCCCAACGAGTGGGCCCAGATTCGAGAAATCATCCAGCTGTAAGTTGCGCGCACTGTGTAATTACATAGCAAAGCGAGCGCATACATTTCAGGTGGGACTTTTGTAGGTTCAATGGATTTCGGCCCAATGGATCGCCACAAAGCTGGCAGGCGGTGGATTTGAGGGATCTGGATGTTAATAACTTGAACGCACTGACGCTCCTGGCTCTGGACCACATTTTTATGCTAGAAAACCAGACCAACACCGACTAAAGATACACTTACAATCTTGGGAATGTTGTACGAGTAATCCGAGTAATGTTGTTTTGAGATTAACGATGTGTTAACTCAGTAACGTGCATTGGCATAAGCTCTTCATGGATATGTTTTTAATTTTAAGATGAACGCAATTTTGTTTAGTCTAGCGGCAGAAATCCACCATGGGTTTTGTGACAGACTGATTAGGTTTCAACTTTCCACTGAGCTGTTGCGCCAAACAACAAACACTGCTTGCATTTAGAAACACTGACGTGCGGTCACATTGAGCCTTAAGTATATCCCCCGGGTAAAATGACTTTCAGGTCCGCACGTGACCTTTCCAAAACTGCCATCAGATTTGCGTAAAACACCCTGCCGGACAGCAGTGCTGCGCTCTCCGAAACTGCAGAATACTTTATACTAGATAATGCTTATTTAACCTACAAGCATTAATTGAGGGTTGTTAACTGTAACACAGCGGAATGACTACTATCTCCTATGGTAAGTGTAACTACGTCACTGTGGTTAATATTCCTGGAACTGAACCCGCATTTCCACGTCGTATCTCTGGCGTGGAAACTTTCCAGAACGAGGATTGCCGGCACAATTACTGATCTTTCTCGACAGCTCTTTAAAGAATCACTTATGCAAATACATATCTGCACTCTGGCCCGTCGTTAGACCCCTATCCAGTTTTCGAAACACTACTCCTCCTACAGTTTCCATCCGATATTTTTTCTGAATACACCATTGAACTCAGCGTAAAATTCTGAACAAGATGATTGCGGCAGATTTTAGAACCCCAAAAGTCGACATCATGGTCGGTCGGCCAATGCGACCCATAACGGGTTTCCCCTGGCCACCCCAAACGAACAAGAATGTCGAGTTTACTTGTTTGCGGAAGAAAAAATACAGTTTTTAACAGCAAATGGTTTTGGGGCGTTTGGCGCAGTCAGGGGGAAAGCCCTCGAAAATATGTTGTTGCATGTCTGACCGCCCCTGGTAGTCGGATTTGGGAAGAATCGAATTTTGAAATTCGGTTCCAATCATTTTGTTCAGAATTTTACGCTGAGTTCATTGGTGTATTCAGAAAAAATATTGGATGAAAACTGTGGGAGGAGTAAATTTTTGAAAATTGCGAGGGGAAATACCCCAAAAGGGGGTGTCGCAGTGGGGACCGCCCGTTGATGAGACCTTATGGGCAAACGAATTTCAAAAATCGGCATCAATCATCTTGTTCAGAATTTTACGCTGAGTTCAATGGTGTATTCAAAAAAATTATCGGATGGAAACTGTAGGAGGAGTAGTGCTTCGAAAACCGGATAGGGGTCTAACGACGGGCCTGTAGACTGCACTTGTATGATTGTGCGGAATATTATTTTGCCGGTCTCTCTAAACTAACAAATTTACTTGGACAGATGTAGATGTAGGCATGGAGTAATATGCAGGAAATCGAAACAGAGGTTATTGTGACGGACGGGAGTGCAGTGTCCAGCACTTTAGGGATTTCCATGACAACGCCATCTGCGACGACAAATTCGAATTAATTAGCATTTCCATTACCTTTTGCCTTGCTGATAAACCTGTAGAAATGTGCAGTTTCCTTGGAAATTTTTAATTTATGGTACAGTAAGGCGTACGTACAGAGCATAAGCAAACTAATTTATAGTAAGGCAGTAAGGCAGTTAATTTTGTTTTAATTTATAGTAAGGCTCTGTACCACGCATTAGCAAACATCAATTTTTAGAGTGAGTGTCTCTTGTGTATCCGTACCAGTGGGCTTAAAACGGAGTTGTTGCCAGCGTTGAGCAGGTGCAACAGTAGCAAGGCAACCTAAAAGCTTGCCTTGATATTGCCCGGACGACAACTGAATTAGCGGCCTTGCAGTTTGGCTGTAGCCTGGATTCCGAAAAGCGCATTAGCCGGATGCACAGGTACGCTTGGCAATGTCAGTTTCTCGAGCATGCAGCTGTCTGTAAAATGGCGTTCGACGGTTCCAGCGACGAAGGTTCGCGACGTATTAATTACGCACTTCAGCTGCTTTATCATTGACATTTTATTGTTTGAAGTACAAGCGGCAGCCGACCAGGCAGGGGTAAAGCAAACCAATACATCTTCCTGTTTGGCCGATGCAAGTGCACCCTTTTCAGAAATAAATGTCCGTTTACAGTATTATTAGCTGGTTAAAAAAAGCAACCCGTTTTCCTCCAGTTCTTCCTTGATGGGACACTTGTGTCCCATCAAGGTAGCTGTGATGCTGTCACTTGTCAGGGTAGCCCGCAGCTGTGTGTGGACAACACGCGCCACTTTTTGCACCTTCAGAAGGTCTATAAAAATATTTTCTTGACAAGCGCTGAAATGGCTTTTCTGGGTTTTTCAATATTTTCCTGCGCATCTTCGAATGCATGGTTACGCGCCAAATAGCCAAATGCAATGCACGCGTCAGCGTAGGATACGATTGCCTTCTATCAGTAGAAGCCTTTTGTACGAATAGTCCTCCACGTTCTCTAATTCCTCTTACAGTTCAGCCAAGGACGTCATAAGCCAATGAACTGAGTGTTATCCAACCAGATTTTGCTTGCATTCTCCATGCCCCAATAAACGTTACAGAGACTTCTGAAGCAATCTCCGTACGTGTTTGACATTTTTTCGGGGTTCTTGTTCGGCCCTGTTCTGTTTTTTTATGTCAACGACATCGGATCTCGCCTTTTCCGATGAACTTTCGCCTACAAAACGCGTGTGGAGGTCATCCCAGCTTTCGTGGACGTTGATGTTGTCCCGCTTCTGCGTCTCCATGTATTTGCGCAACAACGTGATCCGGCGTGTTGTGCATCAACTGGGCAATAATTTTTCCGCTGTCGAAATCACCACGTACCTTTTGTACCGTACTACAGATTGTATTGTGTAATCAGGCTGGCAGTGACATACACTGCAGCCATGAAGGGTGCAACAATCCAGTAAATGAAATTCCCAATAGTGGACTGGCTAGTGCGCAAACGGCGCCCACTATGACAGCAATACATAAACCAGACTTACCAGAGTGTCAACATTTGACTTAAGCAACTTTTAATTATTAAGCAATAAAAATCGTATGGCGGGCACAAAGTCAATTTCTTTGCGCCCGAAAGTTCGGGGCACAAAGCCAGATTCCACGTGCCCCGTAAGTCGAGGCGCATAGCCCTCAGGCCCGTCACCATAATTATTATCGGATTGAAACTGCAACTGACAGCAGTTACGATGTTATGCGCCTGATACATGCTCAATAATTTAACTGCAGTTATTAGGTTATTTCTACCGGAAATAACGCTGGTAAATATCTATAATATACCCGAACTCAGTATTATGACGTAAGAATGTCGCGGCCTGCCTGAATTTACTCCCTGACTACCGAAGAGCTGAATAGTGCAGTGCGGAGCTGTGATTCCATAATTTAATTAATCAATTTTCTTCACAAGGTCACTTTCCAGCTTGCCCTCTGACCCATTACGCTGCACAGACACCACTGACCTTTCGCACGCTTTTTCGCTTTCTACTCTTTCGCCGCCACCATACACCCGCGGTGACCCGCCTACAACCATCGCCCGTCATTAACTAACGCCGTCGCGACCCGCATAACAATGTGTAGTATTTTAATGAATTTTTTATTTTCCGATAAATATTATGGATTTATCAGAAAACAAAAATTTATTAAAATACTACACATTTTACCCTACTCAGTGACACAAAACTCAGTTTCTGGTTAATATGTAGTAATTGCGCCAGCTGTTTCGTTATAGATCCACTTGCATCTTGAAAAAAAACGAATAATCAGTGCTGGTGTTGACTGGCATACGAGAACGCAGCGCTTATTAACTACTAGCGAACCTCAATATTTGGATATATTTCTAGTGTCCTGGTGTCCACGTTTTCCACAGGTCTTGCAGGCGACGCCTACATACTACCACTCACGGTTCAAATGTCCGGAACCAACACTCCTTCGAAATTTCGGCTTTTTACCCATCATAATTCGCAAGCCTTTCGCGTCACTGCCTTTTCAAACCGTCTTTTCAACCTTCTCTGCCTTTTTTGCTTCGTGGCTGGTTTTGTGTTTGCGTGCGAGTTCACGTTCTACTGTATATAGTCAATGCGTGTGCCACCACGCCCATCCGCCCTTTTACCACATTGGCAAGTACGCCCGCATCTCTCCACGGTTTGTCCCCGTCTCAACAATTCCACACACTGAATGACGATGTCGGCGCCAAAAGTAACTCGCTGATATTTCAAAGCATCGCATTTTCACAGTACACAGTACATTGTACCCGTTCAAATACCGTAACGTTAGCAGCTGCGCAGTTAAGCTGTTGAACAGTTTGTACAGATACATATTCCATATGAGATATTCAAGACACTGCGGCTTTCATAATGTGACGACATCCAGTAAACCAGTGCGGGTGTGAAGCAACTTCGTCTAGTAGTTTAATGTTTTGGAGATCTTACTTACAGAACACGGCGAAAATTCTTTTTTTATATCGTTGGGCTGTCAAAATGTTTTGAAGATAATCCTCACGGTACCGGCTTCCTCCGGTGCAGCGAATCGATCGAGCCTATTTGGGTCCACTGCTGCAATTGCCAAAATCATCAACTCGCAACAAACATGAAGCACTATGGTCGACTCCATTCAGTTCTTTGATATACGAGTCCTTTGCTGCAGAAAAGCGAAACGGTATTCGATACCAGCAATTGACTCTGTCGGTCGTCTTGCTCTTGTAAACAGATTTTCATTCCGTGGTTAAAGCCAAAGTGTTCTGCCGTCGTGCTTTTCGGACCATCCATTTCTGCATGGATCAAACGCACCGAAATTTAAATGGGAACGGAAGTTGTCATCGCGAAAAAATACTATTTGAAAAAACCCCGCTAATCACAACAGTCTGCTTGCTGCCTTTCGCTTAAACTGAGATACGGACGCGCTCAATTACTGGCATCAGTTAAAATTCCGTGAAGTTCCGTTGGTCTTATTTTATGTACATAAATGCAGTTAAGGTATTTTTATTAACTTTGCAAAGTGGAGATATTGCATTTACGTGACATGTAGGACATTTGCAGTGCAACGCAGTAAATAGAATAGATGACCTACGGTAGCATAGCATAGTACAAAAAATTTAATACTGTAAGGCCAGAAATGACTCAAATAACCTGCACTCAGCTAGTTTGACTGTGGCAGTGCAGTATACAGCACAACTATTTTGCTGACAGAATTTT